AAAGAAAAACGAAAAGATAAATTACATATACCGTAATCGATTAAACAGCCATAGATACTCTGCAAACAATACATAAAACATTATTGCATTAACTATTGTAACTATGGCATTAAAGGAATCACTGGAAGCAACACTAAAAGTGCAAAGTACCCTATAAGAGTGAATTTATTTTTCATTTGGTTGCTGCTTGAAGAACATATAAAAGATGCGGCATTGGGGAGTAAACATACAGTATAGGATTTACTTTTAAAGGTGTTGTGAAGGATGTTCTTTTTCCAGGTGGATCATCAAAATAAGTGGTCCTCCTAATTGTCAATCATTCTGGTGATATGTTTACGTAAGGCCGTCCTTCGTGCTCATCCCGATTTTTACTTACCGGCGGTGAGTCTGACATAGTGGAAAAATTGAAAATCTTCTTTTGGAAAGTAAGCTTGTATGAGCGATGCAAACAGCAACTGTGCACAAGGAGCGTGCTTGCTTTCGCAAGCATTTAATAGGCAGGTACAGGGTTGTGCATGTGTTTTTAAAGTGGAGAGAGTGGGTCTTTAAAAAAAAAAACGTGAAGATCCTCCACTATATATTTACTATGAATTACATGCAGGTATTTGCAGATGCTTTGTAATTGGGAAAGTAAAGGTAAGCAGTTCTTTGAGTTTTCCGTGCTATACAGTTAAAGCTACAGTGTCGTAAGACTGAAGGTAAAACATGGAGAAAAACTGTAAATAAAAGTGCTATTGTAATCACGGATGGCAGTTGATGCACTTCACTGCCCTGCTGGCATCTGTTTGAGCTTATGGGATGGAGATAGTTGGTACACTAAGCACCTAAAAAATCGGGACTGTACATCCTTCCCTCTAGTAGCGCTCTTACAGGGGCCCGGCTCTTCTGATGCCAAAAGCCAGAGGGAATGCATTATCTCCAGGTTCTCGTGTAGCCTGCCTCCTCTTCCCTTCCTCTCTGACGCCGTCTCTCCCCACGGGCTAATCGCTCTGTCATAATCCATGTCGGCCATGGTTCTCGGTCTCCCCTGGGTCGTTCACGCTGTTCCCTCTCCGCCTCTCTCAGCAAGTGGCCCAAGTAATGAGGGAAGCCCCACCATCTGTGTATGCAACAGCAAATCAGAGAACAAAATAGGTTAGTTTTACCTTATGTAGTGTGTGGGAATAGACATCATTTTGTACAGTTTGAATACTAATTGTTATTTAAGTGATGACCAGTGGGTGAATTTATTCTGAACAGACCTGAATATATTCAAAATGTTTTGTAATTGTGCAATTTTTTGTCTAGATATTGAGTATTTAAACCTTAACATTGGAAGAATCTCACAACCCTGATGGTTCCATTACACAGAAACAAGACATTCTTCCCTGTTCTGTCTTCAGCAGTGATCCACCGATATGAAAATGTGGGCGAATATTCATATTGCCCATAGGGGTGGGCGATATATATATATATATATATATATATATATATATATATATATATATATATATATATATTAGGGATGGAACGGTTTATGAAAACTGTCCTAATCATTCGGTTTAACTGTCTCGGTTCGGTTCGCGTGTTTTGCGTTCGGTTCATACTCGGCTCCTTTTTCTCATAAGCGAAGCGTTTACACTCCAGAGCAGAAGGTGGCAGTATTGCTACCAAAGCCTATCACCAGTAATAAACAAGAAGAAGAAGAAGCGAAGCAGCGTAGCCGGGTGTAGCAGAAAAAAATTGTGTGGGTATGGCGAGTGGGAAAGAACAGGAGTTGGAAGACGCGCCAGCAGCACTTTATAGGTCTGCTGTATGGGACCACTTTGCATTTAGAGTGACCTACGATGACGGCGGAAAGAAAGTTGTGGATAAAAGTACAACAGTGTGAAAGCATTGTGCAACACGTTTTGTTTATGCTAACAGCAACACTTCCAACATGTCAGGCTAACAATCAACATATACCAAACCGAACCGAAAACCGTGACCACGAAACCCTGAACCGAACCAAACCTTGGATTTTGTGAACCGTTCCACCCCTAATATATAAATATATATATATATATATATATATATATATTATACTCGATGAAATGCAAGTTTTCCCTGCGTAATTGTTAGAATGACTTTATTGCGACCGAGTGCAATTTTTCATGGCAAGATTGAGCCACTGTATTTCATTCACTGTCACTGTAGTTTCTCCCACATACCCATCACTCGCTTCTCCTCCAAACCAGAAGGCATTCTGGCGCACACAATGAGCACGTGCATTTACTCACGTCGAAGAGACAGTGAGAACTATGGCGACAGCGGGATTTTCTCAGCTAATAAATAAACTGAGTCTGAAGAGGATGAGCTGGTTCAGAGGAGAAAACAGCACTGGATCAATAATATGGCAGTGGTTTGGATTTGACAAGAAGGATGTCAAACGTAATGCAGTAATTTGCAAAACATGTCGAAAAATCATTGCCATAAAAAGTAGCAGTACCAAAACCAAATGAAGAATTTTTATTTCAGGTTAATTATGTGTCAGATTTTTCATTGACTTTCCTTTTGTTAATTTGACATATACCAATGCAACTTTAGGCACTATGCGGCTAAAAACATTTGTTTTTCAAGGGTATTTGATCATATCCCGAGATATACAGCATGTCCTGATGTGCTTTTTTATTCAGCATATTGTAAAAAAAAAAAATGGCCTTAATTTTTTGGAAATATCCTATTGATACAAAAGAAAACTTTGTTTTTTAAGAAGAAATTATTGATCAATTGATCATTAACTTAATAATCAATAACTTGCATCTTAATTTTCCATTCTAAAAGTTAAGACTCTAAACCAAGTCAAATTTGATATTTTAATATTTTTGTTTTTTTTATAAGGCATTGGTTTCTTTCTTAAAAAGCAAATTATAATGTTATTAATTAACCAGTTCAAAACCATGAATAAGTAGACAAGTATTCAGCCATTTGGATATAAAATGTATTTCGTATAGGCATAATGTAAACTTATTTTCAGTTCACTGTATTGCAAAAAAAAAAAAAAAAAGGACTGGATTTATATAAATGGGTAGTCAGAAAATTTGTTTTTTAAAAATGAACAAGGACTTGATTTATGCTTGTTTAACAACAGCCCTGTTGATTTTCAGTTTTTTGTTTTTTTGTTTCTCCATCATATTTTCTGTGCTAATCAACTGGAGATGGTAGGGTTCCCAGGCAGCCTGAGCCAAACTCTGACTCCAGGTCACGTTTCTGAAACAAGCCGGCTATGGAATAGCAGTCTTCTCTGCATCCAGCAAAGCTTGTGGTAGGAGAGGAGATGTAACCTAAATATGAATCATGGTCAGATTTCCTTAGGCATTGTAAATGTAGGCTAACTTTTTTTTTTTAAATGGCACATAATATGTAGAGAGCAATATAGGTTAAATAACTGAACACATGGGGTTTGTGTAGGCTTATTTTAGTGCATCAGACATGTAAAGGAAAACTTTTTTTGTTTTTTGTTTATGGTAATTTCTTCCTGTAGGCTGTGATTGTCCTTTACAGCAGGTTTGCATTTTGAATATAGTCTAAAAACCATTTAAAGAAAGTATTTTATATATATATATATATATATATATATATATATATATATATATATATATATATATATATATATATATATATATATATATATATATATATATATATATATATATAGAGAGAGAGAGAGAGAGATATTCATATCTACTTCATGGCTTCCTATGGTTTCTAAACTTAAGTGGTATTCCACTGCTTTTAGTTATTACTCTATAGTGCATTTGATGGAATAGAATAGGAAATACCTTTAGTAGTCACATAAATATGGACCTTTTAAAAATCTAAGAATAACATAATAATGAAGAGTCAAAAGATAAACAATTAAACACTGTACTGTAAAGTGTTTTAACAATATAAAAAAATGATCTTCTCTAGTTTAATATTTATTTTACTTGGAATTAACATAGTTAAAGTGCATAATATTATGCGTCATTAAAACCTCCATTCCGTTCCTGAGAAAAACAAAGAGGGAGTCATTTTGGTTTGTTTTTTGTGTAAGGATCACCTTTGAATTGAGCCTTTTTTTAATACCTTATTATGTGTACTTATCAAGCCTGCACTTGTATCAGTTAGAAAGCCTTCAAATGCTGTAAATTAGCAAATTCTGAAACATGTCTCAGCAGATTTTAACACCATAAACCCAATTATTACTTTTATAGCAGCTCTAATGATATAAAAAGTGGATACAGACCAATACTGTTTTGCAGACACTCATTAATAGATGAGAATTGTCTGAATTTGCCTTAAAAATGACAGGAACTGTAAATTGAAATAACTTAAGATATATTTATACTGTGATGAGCTTTACTTAAAAAATAAAAAATAAATACGGCAAACAATCAGTCAGATATTAGGTCACACATCACCCTGGCAGTGTGAGCTTCTTTGTTCTCTTGAAATCTACAGAAGGGAGTGTTTACCTTCTCAGCTTTATGATGTGATTATGTGACTATAAACTATTGAAGAATTACAATAGATGATGTCAACAAAGCTGCATGATTAGAAAAGATGCTTTGGCTTTGAGTCATTAGGAACCTCCTCTCCCCAGCAGCTGACAAAAAAAGGGAGGATGTTTTACATAAAAAAAAAATCTTAACTTTAGAGAACTGAAACAAGGAAAATGACACATTATACGATACCAATTTTCATCGTGTACTGTTAATTTCTCCAAAGTTTTTTTTTTTTGGGTGTCTTTGTTCCATTGGTTCTGCATCAGCAATGGGATTACAGAGATTAATATTCAATTTGACATTTATTTTCCGTTTGATGTCAACAAAGTACTTTTGAACAAATTTCAATCGAAATGTGTTTATTGCCAGCCCTTTACATCCTTTATTATCCTTTTTTCAATTCTTTTCTGCAACAGTTGCACCACTTGAAATTATCAATACTTATGTGCTAATAGTAAAGCTTTAATAACTTTTTTTTTTTTTTTTTTTTCCCAGAATGGCACAAAAAAATCCTGGGACTTCATGCGCACCCACGACAGGTAAAAGTTTTCCTACTTTTCCATTCAGTTTCTTTTCACAGTTCACCACATATGTCATCCCACAACACACTACAGCAGGGGTGTCAAACTGGTTCCAGAAAGGGCCATGTGGCTGCAGGTTTTCTTTCCAACCACGCAAAAGCACACCAGACTCCAGTCACCTCATCAAGTGAGTCCAGTCTTAACATTATGACTTGATGAGATGATTGGAGTCTGGTGCACTGCTGCTAGGATGGAAAGAAAACCTGCAGCCACACGGCCCTTTCTGGAACCAGTTTGACATCCCTGCACTACAGAGTCAGTTCAGTAAAACCATACAGACAGATTGGTTATGCTGGTGGAGGTTCTCTATCATCCAGGTCATAGTCATTCCAAAAAAGAAAATGAAAAACGATCCACTGGACTTTGTTTCCAAGTTTGAAGAGCTTTTTCAATTCAAAATGTCAGGAATAGCGTTGAGTTCACTGTGTAAAACCTCAAATTCAACGCTATTCCTGACATTTTGAATAGAAAACGCTTCCTGGATGGGAAGTAAAATGTCTTCAAACTTGGAAACAAAGTCCAGTGGATTTTTTATTTATTTTATTTTTGGAATGACAGACTGGTTAAAAGTTTTCTGTCTAAGGAAACCCAGCAGGTGGCACTAGGTCATTTACTTACCTTTTTAATTTTACTGTCAGATGTGTGCAGTGGCCCAAATGTGTCTGGCTTGAAATGAAAATCAGTCAACAAACACTAGGCCTAAAACTGAGCTCTGTTTGGGTGGACTTCTTTGAAAAAAAGCCTCACTGCATGTAAATCTCTAAAACATGCATGCTAATGCCTCAAGACATGTTTTAAATCTGAAGAGCTTTGCTTGAATACTATGCATATCTCTGGGATCAGGAAACGAGGATGAGCTTGGATATCTCTGTCAGAATGTCATCATTTCCCTGTTTTTGTTACAAGATGTATTGTATGCATGTTCCCTTAAATATGCATATTTCATGTCATAGACATTTGCTGGTATTGTGTTCTGCCTTCTCTTCTGGGTCATTGTTTGGAAAACATCCTGGCATTTCTATGCCTTTATAATCAGCCCCTGTTATGAGTCATTGTATTTGGATGGTGGTTGACTTAAAGAGGGCTGGTTTAAAGGGAAGTTGCACCCTGTTTTTTTTTTTACATGGCTATAAAACTCTGGGCTCCATTGAAAGGCTCTCTAACAGAAATATCACACTTTAGTGCCAAAGCTCCTTGTCTTCCTCTTAGCAATACCCCGAGGTGAGTCTCAGGTCATTTCAAGCCTCTTTCCTGCACTACTGACCCCAAACAGGGATTCCTGTTAAAAAAACAGCCCCCCTCCAAGAGAAAGGCATTAAACGTCAAACCTGTATTTCCAACAAAAGATTTCCCTTGGTGACAGGTAGCTATTCACAAAGAGGAAATCCTGTTAAGTTGTTACAGGGTCGCCTAAAAGAATCCATGATTGTTTTGCCTTTTTGTTAAATTGAGTGTAACCTTAGGGGTTTTTTATGTTTGGAGGATAGCATATTATTTTTCAAAGATCTAGATTATGATAAGTTTGTGACATTATTTTCCAAATAGGTGAATAAAGGTTTTATTTTAATTTCTATTTTTTACGATGCTCATTTACCTATTTTAGATGCTGCTTTGGTCAAACAATTTTTTTCATTTATTTTGAATTTTTCACAACTTTCAATTGTGTCTGGTGAAACCCAACATGTCTCTCTTCCTTTCTTATTCTTCATATTTCTGCCGCCACAGTTTAAATGATGGGCTATCTGTCTATTGGGTCATCAAATAAATCAATGAGGCAAGATTAATCTGAGAAATCGTATCAAAACCCAGTAAGGGAGGAGACATTACCAAGATAAACCTTGGTATTCTCTTTTATGTAGTATAAAAATAGGGATGGAACGGTTTATGAAAACCGTCCAAACCGTTCGGTTCGACTGTCTCGCTTCGATTCGCGTGTGTTGCGTTTGGTTCATGCGCTGCTCCTTTTTCTCGTAGGCGAAGCGATTACACTCCAGAGCAGAAGGTGGCGGTACTGCGACCAAAGCCAACCACCAGTAGTAAACAAGAAGAAGAAGCGAATCAGCGTAGCGGGTGTAGCAGAAAAAAATCAGTTGTTGTGGAGAATTGTGTGGGTATGGCGAGTGGGAAAGAAGAGGAGTTGGAAGACGCGCCACTTTGCATTTAGAGTGACCTACGATGACGGTGGAAAGAAAGTTGTGGATAAAAGTGCAACAGTGTGCAAGCAGTGTGCAAGCATTGTGCAACACGTTTTGTTTATGCTAACAGCAACACGACCAATATGTCAGGCTAAAAATCAACATATACCGAACCGAAAACCGTGACCACGAAACCGTGAACCGAACCGTGGATTTTGTGAACCGTTCCACCTCTAAAAAACGAAACTTTAAAAGTACACAGTCAGGTCATATTATGCCTATACCAAAAAGACCAACATTCAGTGGAGTATGGGAAAAAGAAAAAAAGGCTATATACTCCAAGCATCTGTCCTGAAAGTGTTTAGTCTCTTTTTTTAGCCTAAATAAAACTTCAGCACCAAGTACGATGAGCTGACAGAAAGATGTGGCGCCCTCTACTGAAAGTACTGCTGTGATTCCTCGTGAATAGGGCTCCTAAGCATTGCTAATATCAGTAGGACTATTAGCAAAGACATGTACTTGCTTGTTTATCAACTTTGCAGCGACATCAACATTTTTCCCGAGCTTTAGTTTATTCCAACTGTCATACTGTTTTCTCAACACAACTTGAGTTTTATCACTCTTGCAGCTTCTTGTTTCTAAGGGTATAATCCCCATAAAACGAAACAAAATAAATATGTTATAATATATTATTTTATTATATGATTTTTTTATGTATTCAAAAATGTGTTATTTATGTAATAAATTTTTTTAATAATGGAGTATTATTTTGTGACATTTGTATTTTGTAAAGCTACTTTATGTATCCTGTGACTTATTTTTTAACTCAGGTTTGTAAAAGGTTTAATAAAATCAAAAGATAACAGCAACAAAACCCAAGAATCAAAACAAAAAGCCAGGAGACGTCAGGAAAAAACACACATGGGAAGCCCAGTAACAACAAGAAACTGCACTGAAGAACTGCACTGAGACAGAGCAAAGACTCAGGTAATCGGCTAATATGAAGCATGTGTTAATAGAAGTGACTAGAATGGAGCTAGGGGAAAGGAGGCAGGCAGCAGAGAGAAACTAAAGACTGCTTAAATATAACACAAAATGGAAAATAAACCAAACATCAACAAAACAGAATGAGTTAGATAACTAAAAACTTAAAGCTGAAAAGGGGAGAACCATAGCATCATGTTCTTATATTTAAATGAGGGGGCGAAGTTTTGTTTCAGGCGGCGCAGGTAAGCTTGCAAAATATCAAACAGGAGAAGAAGAAAATAATTGATGTAGATTTTTTTTATTTTTTTGGCAGAATGCTTCTGATCTTTCTAGATTTATTCAACTAATTTACAATGTCTGAAAACAGAAGCATCTCAGACTTATTGACAGAATATCTGTGCATGATGTGTCCTGGAAATGGGATCCTACCCTACAACTCCCCCTTATTTCTTCTTCGCTAACTTTTTCGGGTTTGGACTTATATATAGATATAGTCTTTTCAAGTTTCATTTATTTCATTTCGTTTTAAATGTATGGTATGTAAAGCGTAATCTAAATAAAGAAACAACTAAAATGCAGATACAAACGTGTGATTATATTTTACTGGACTGTTCTGAGCTTGCCCAATGATGACATCCAGTAGTATCCAATTGGCTCAGAAAAGTTATTAAATCTTGTATTTTAATATGTATTTAAACTTTCTTTTGTGATTCAAGGATAGAAATGATGTGTAGCGACAGCACCAAACGGAGGAAGGAGGGAATACGGTGGTTGGATTGTCATCATGATCAGAGTACTTCAGTGTCTGCAAAGAAGATGCACTCGGCCAATCCTAACTTGTGACCACCTGACAGATAAAACTTTGCCTCCTTATTTAAATATGAGAAAATGAAATAAAGAGGTTAAAATAAAAACAAGAGTTATGAAATAAACATCACTGAATATGTAAAAAAGCTTTACAAAATAAAAGTGTTACAATAATACTTTATTTTGAAATAAATAAATTGATTCTTTACATAATTAATAAAACTTTGAATAAATAAAAATATTAAAATGTAATTAAATAAGATAAAAATACTTGTACATATTTACTTTGTTTTATTTGATAGGGGTATGCATTTATTTGATAGAATATTTGACAGTTTATCAATAGTAGTATTCATTTATTTTTTAATTTTGAAGGAACCATATTTCTTAAGGTTCAAACATGCAATAAGTCAAAAGGGTTTTTTTCCGCCTCAAGCAGCCGTAGAGGATTAGAAATGTTGGGTCAGTCTCCTTCCTTTCAGACTTGTGTTTTACATCAGTAGCGGATATTCCACATTATCCATACCTGCTGTCCACCAGTTTTTTCTTATGTCTAACATTTCTACACCGAGTGCCTTGCAAGTGTACTGATCGCAACGTTTTTTTTGTTGTTGTTTTTAAAAGCCTGAAAAAAGTATGGAGGGTCTTTCCCGTTAGAAGTCTTTGCTTTGGTGTCCCCAACAGAAATGTGAGGTGACCAAATGCCTTCAAAAGACATTTGGTCTACCTGAGTGTAAATTAGTTTGCAGTTAAATACGGGTGGTTTATGAAGGCTTAGAGGTTTGTTAGACATTAAAAAACAAAATGTCTGTGAACAGACTGCATCAAAAAGACCACACAACACATCAGACAAGTCAAGGATAAAGCTGTGGAGACGTGTCCATCCCTGTCAAAAAAATCAAATGGATCTAATCTAGCTCTAAATGACTTTCTGGACATTTTAGTGTCTTTAATCCTAATGTTTACATTTTATTTACCTCTTAAAGTTCCTTTTAAAACAGTTGTCTCAAACTGAATTCCTGACGGCCT